GGGTCAAGGGGGGGGTTCAGGCACAACCCCGATTTTTTGGGGGGGTTAAAATAAATCCCCCCCACTAGTTTTTTTAGGAGGTGGCACCCCCACCTCATACTCCCTCGTGACTGAGGTCCTCATCTTCCCCAGGTAGGCCGCGGCCACGGCGGACAGGTGGACGTAGGGACCCTGGTGCCAAGGGGGGGACACGGCACTGAGCGTCCCCCCAGCGCGGCACCACCCACCACCACCGGCGATTCTGGGGGTCGGGGGGGGATCCCTTACCACTTTCCCAAGGAAAAGGCTGCTGCCACACATCAGGGTGCAGGTCAGCCCCACCACCCTGGCTCCGAAGTTCTGGATGGCCAGGTAGTCCTCCAGCACCACACCCATCAGGATGGTCTTCAGCTCCGGGATGCCAGAGCCTGGAGTGGAGAGAGGGCAGCATCCAAATTTGAGGGGTCGTCCTGATTACCAAGGGGGAGCTTTGGGGAGCTGGGGAGGTCGGGGTGCAGCTGGCTCACCTGCGGAGTGTGGGGTGATGCTCTGGGAGAAGCCAGTGGAGAAGGTGGCCAGAGCCGTGGGGTACAGGGTCCACGAGAGGTACTTGAGCACCCCGATGTCCCCAACCTCTTGGTAGAGCCAGCGGTGGGCTGGAGAAGAAGTGTCAGCAGGGAAAACACACCCCCACTCCAAAGACCCCCCCCTATATCCTCGGGGAACCCTCAAACACCAGGTGAAGCACCTCATGGAGCCCCTCATTCACCTGCGTAGACCCTGGAGACGAGGTGGTCCATCATGAAGCTGATGGTGGCCATGAGGACTCCCAGGATGAAGAGGAAGTACCAATCCTCCCCGACACGGAAAAGCTGCTGCTTCACCCACTCCAAGCACACTGTGGGAGAGGAAAACACAGTGCTGACCCCCCAAAAAAAACACTCACCCCCCAAAAAAATCTCCCTTTTTTGGTGGGGGTCTCACCTCGGAGCCTTCTCCGGGCCGTGGGGCAGGGTCTCCACATGTGCTCCGACACCAGCACCCTCTCCTGCTCCTCCTCCTCCTTCTCCCCCCAGAGCCCCCCAGGGACGGGGTGCTCCATCCCAGGGACCTTTTTGGGGACAGCACCCCCTTTTTTTTCAGCACCCCCTCACCCGTCCTCCCACCTCAGCCTCCGCTGTGGGACTGAGGTTGCAAACGAGCTCATTAAAAACGACCTTGACGAAGCCGACGGACCCGCTGGGGCCGGAGCGAGCCGGGTTTTCCCCTCCCTCCACCACCTCCGAGCTCCCAATCCCCGCGTACATCCCGCGGCGGGGAGGATTTAATAAGTGTTTTAATTAATTATCCCGATTATTCCTTAATAATAGGCACTGCATTCCATGGCGTTGAGGTGGGGGGGGGACGGAGCGGGGAAAAATTTCCACCGTCTCCGGCGCAAGACCTAAATTTAGCCGGTTTTACGAGAGGTCTGGCAGGCGGCCGGGAGCTTTAACGAGGCTTTAAAAAGCTCGTCAAGTCGAAACATCCCGAAATAACCGATCCGGCGTCGCCTTCGCCGGGAGGAGGACGAGGAAGAGGCTCCTGCTCCTCCTCCCCCGCGGGAGCTGGGGGTCGCAGGTGGGGGGGAAGCGGCGGGTGAAGGTGAAATGGAGCTTTTCGGGAGCTTTGTCCGGCCCCACGGTGAGCCCTTGGGGTTCCCAGGTGAGTTTGGAGGCACCCAGGAGGCGTCGGGGGGGGGAATCCTCAGCAAGCCATGGCTGTGACCCCCCCAAAACCTCTCCAGCAGCTCGTTCCGGCAGCGCGGGCGTGGTGAAGACTCTGGGGAACACTTACCAGTTCACGGTGGACGTCAGCGACTTCGCCCCCGAGGACATCGTCGTCACCACCTCCAACAACCAGATCGAGGTGCACGCCGAGAAGGTGGGTGCTCCCTCCCTGCCCTGCTCACCCCCACACCGGGGGACCCCAAAATCCTCAACTGGTGGACGCGGGGACCCTCCAGCTCCCACCCAACAGCCACAGCCCCAATGTGGTTTAATTCACCTTTAATTAATAATTAATGGAGACCACAGGGAATAATGAGCCCCCATCCCACCTGCACCCCAAACCCACCCCTTTTTCACCCGTTTTTCCCCCCAGCTGGCTGCGGATGGCACTGTCATGAACACCTTCACCCACAAATGCCAGCTGCCCGAGGACGTGGACCCCACGTCGGTGTCGTCCTCCCTGGGGGACAATGGCACGTTGACCATCCGTGCCCAGCGCCGGCCGGCCAAGCACTCCGAGCACGTCCAGCAAACCTTCCGGACTGAGATCAAGATCTGAGGGGTCGGGGGGCTCTTTTCCCCCCCTCCCCTCCCTCGTTAATGATTTGGGTGATTTGGGAAGGAGGTGGGATGTGGGGTAGGGAATGGGAGCGCTCCCTCTGCCGTGGGGTCAGACCTGTCCTGAGCTGCATCCCGTCACTCACTGGAGAAACTCCGGAGGGGAGTCCCAGCTCCAGCAATTTTTAGCTGGCGCGTGTTGAGGGGGAAGATCCAGCGTGCCAAGAATCCTGCCGGGAGCCAGGTTCCCTTCCCAACCCTCCGCCGGAGCTTGTCTTTGTATATACAGCTTGGGATAAATTATTCGAGAACGTCTGCCTGCTGCCTTCTCCGTTTTTTCACGTTTCCTTGATGTTTTACCCCCAACCCGGGGTGTGGGTTCAGCCCTGAGGGGTGTCTCGGGAAGGGGTATTCCACCATCCCGACAAAATCCCGCACCAGGAGCCGCTCCGGCGCCCGCTGTCCTGTTTATTTCCAGCCCAGGGTGACTCATTTCTTCCCCACCGCTCTATTTCTGAGCCATTCCCTCAGCTGCTCGGCTGCCGACCCACCTGGAAGGGCACCAAACCCTCCTTCTCCCCTCACCCACCCTCGCCCACCTTCCTTGGGATGCCCCACACGGGCCGGGATGATGGTCCTGCTGTAGCTGTCAAACCCAAGGGCTTCTTTTTGGGGGCCCGAAATGTCCCCCACGGGCCTGGCTCCATCTCCCTGTGTGTACAAACAACACTGAGGCGCCAGTTCGGGGCGAGGGACTGTTTATAGAAACCACAGAGCGCCCAGCTCGTGTTGCTGCTCCCGCTCCAAGGGCAGCTCATTCCTGTTCATCCCATAATGACTCGTGACTCCCATTAAACACCTGCAGCGTCCCAAACACGGCTGCTCCTGCCATCCCCTCCTCGGGTGGCTTGGCTCTCGCTCAGGGGGACTCCCCGCCACAGGGAAGATGGTTACAAGTTATTAATAAAGTTATGAATAAAGTTATTAGTGGCTATAAAAGCTCGGGCGATGCGCTGCCGCTGATCCTCAGCGATGGGACGGGGCTGCTCCGTCCCAAAATGTCACCCCGGCACTCACTGCCGCGGTCACTGGTTGCCATCTAGTGGCCCTCGCTCAGGGAGATGCAATGGAAGGAGGAAGGAAATGGAAAAAACACATTATTTCTGCTCAAATCCGTTGGTTTTGGATAGGGGAGATGGGGAGAGGGCGAAGGGATGGGTTAGATCCCAGTGCCGAACACAGCCCACAGCAGCTGCGCCCCACTTGGGGCTTGTTTGTGGCAGGAAAGTGGGAAAAAAACCCTGGGATCAGTTTTGGAAGCAGTTTAATATCTTTATGAAATGATCTGGATGATCCAGGGGCACCCTCAGTCAGTTCCCAGTGGGCGCCAAGCCGGAATGTGGATGTGCCGGAGGGCAGGAGCTCTGCAGAGGGGTCGGGACAGGCTGGATCCGGGGACAAGGGGGAGCGTCAACAGGGCCAAGTGCCGGGTCCTGAACCTGGGTCAGGACAAACCCCTGGAACGCTCCAGGCTGGAAAGCCGGGAAAGCCCTGGGGGTGCCGGTGGCAGCGCTGGACACGACCCGGGTGTGCCCGGGGGGGCGAGAGGCCGATGGCCCCGGGCTGGGCCCGGCCCAGGGGGGGCACAGGAACAGGGCAGGGCCCGTCCCTGTGCTGGGCACGGCCGGGGCACCTCCAGCCCCGGGGGCACCGCTGGGACCCTCC